TAGAATTTTTGCTCACAAGACTCCACAGCTTAGAGGGAACATTGGGCCCGCACACTAACTCACCTTAGAGGGAACACTGGCCACTAGGGCTTCTGATCGACCACTGGAGATACAATTGACTGTTCTTTTGGTTGGAACTGCCCCCACAGTGTTAGTCTTATTTTCTCATGCATCTTTCCTAGTGTATATTTTAAGTTTCACAGTTCTGCGGGGCCTGCAAGACGGAGTTCTTCCACCAGGCCTTCAGCTAAGGAGTTGCCACACCAACATCATCACTAAAGAAAGAGTGAGCTCTGTGCCTGACTCCACCATTACAGCCTGTGCTGGCCGCATATCTATGATAAAGGTTGAGAACTGGTGAACAAAGTAATTGTTGCCGCCCTCCCTAATGTATTAGTTTACAACCAGCTAGCACTTTATGTTTTGGATTATTTTTAGATGGTTTTATTTATGACGTAATTGTTTAGGTTTATCTTTTGTAAGCTGCCATTAGCCTGCTTCGGCGGGGAGGGCGGGGTATGAATCAAACAAGTCACCCCTCTTCTCCCTTGTGCTCGGGCTTACTCTGTGTACGCTACTCTGCCTTCTGTGGAAGCCATTTTGTTTTTGCGCCCACTGCCCTGTGTCAGAATTCCAAAGGTGCCCACTGGCTGGCGACCAGTGTTCCCTCTAAGCTGAGTTAGTGTGAGCCAGCTCACAGTTCTTTAGCCTCCAGCTCACACATTTTCGTCTTAGCTCAGGAAGGATGGCTCCGGAGCAAACTAATTTATGCAATTGCCAAATCGCTGGCTCACAGCTTTAATGCCAGTAACTTACAAAATAGAATTTTTGCTCACAAGACTCCACAGCTTAGAGGGAACATTGCTGGCGACCCTTGCTGGGATTCTTTTAGAGTGCAGGCACATGCCCTCCAACATTTCCTGGATGAAAAGAAAGACATTTCCGGGTATTAGTACCTGGGTGGGCCCAGGATGCGACCCAGCAGCTTGGAGAATGGGCCTCGGGCATCAGGAGACAGGCAGTGGCAGCAGACCCTGAAATGCATCTGTCTTGATCCTGGGCCTATAGTGGTGCAGCCTACAGGCTCTAGGGGGGCCTAGTGGCTCCAGGGAAGCCTGTATTAGAGTTGCTATCAGGGCCTACATTTCACCCTCTGGGCCCCGTGATTGGCTAACAGGGGATTTGGAGGGGAAACTAGAGGGTGGTGCCATAGGAAGAAAGAATAAAAGGCCTCACCCCAGGTGGGAGGGGGGGTTCACTCCCTGGAAGCAGGGCTGGTGAGGCTGCTGCTGTTAAGTCCGGCGCTTAACAATGAGTCGGAGAGTGATTTCAGCAAAGACTCAAGTTTATTCAGCTCTTCGTTCACTTCTTCGACACGGTACAACATCTGATAGCCCGAACAGTTTGCCCATTGAAACTGCCCGGTATTTAAACATTCCCGGCTAACATAGCCACTCCCACTATACACATAACAACCTATCAGGTTGAGCGCATAAGGACCAATCACAAACGTTCCCGCTTGCAGCTTGCTTGAATGTGATTGGGTCGTGAGTCTTGGACTAGAATCCTCTGTCCAAGACGAAGCTTAACATTGCTTCCCTATGTGATGATTCACATAAAACCTCCTGTACTCATGGCAGCTATGAATACATTACAATTCCCTCCCCCCTAAGCAAAAATACCTCATGAACAGTCGTAATCACTTAGGTAGGTGGGTGCACGTCTCGTTCTCTGAGACCTATCTACCTACCTTTACTTTGCTCCTTTTTCCTATATGTTATTGGATTGTAGTTGTTAAATCTCTTTAATAAAACTAGTTTGTTTCTCTGCCTGGGTCCTCACGCCCCATTCAGTCACTTATGAGGGGAAACCTACTGGAAAAGGTTTCCTTTTTGTTTTTGGGAGTGTATAAAGGGGTAGGGTGGATGCCGTGGGCCCCTCCGGAGGAGACCCAGACCAGAGTGGTGGCAGCCATTGGAGAACCTTCCTAGCCGCTGCTAGCGACAGCATCATAGCAGGAAACGGGAGCAAGTTTCCTCATCAACGCAACCAGGGGTCATTTCCTGCGGGAGTGCACAGGAGCAGAGCTCTGGCAGTAAGGGGTCATTTCCTGCGGGAGTGCACAGGAGCAGAGCTCTGGCAGTAAGGAGCCCAGGGGGCGGGCACATGCAACAAGCCCCGCCCCCTGTTCCCAGCAG